TTTTGTTAGAACTTCTTACTGACAAGGATGCTCGAGACTGTATTTCTTGGGTTGGTGATGAAGGCGAGTTTAAGCTAAATCAGCCTGAACTGGTTGCACAAAAATGGGGACAACACAAAAATAAGCCTACAATGAACTATGAGAAGCTCAGTCATGCATTAAGGTATTATTATGATGGGGACATGATTTGTAAAGTTCAAGGCAAGAGATTTGTGTACAATTTTGTCTGTGACTTGAAAACTCTTATTGGATACAGTGCTGCAGAACTGAACCAATTGGTCACAGAATGTGAGCAGAAGAAACTTGCAAAGATGGAGCTGCACGGAATTGCCCAGCCAGTCACAGCAGTTGCCCTGGCCACTGCTTCTCTACAAACCGAAAAGGATAATTGAGGTCCAGGAGCTTCTGGGAATCTAAGGTCTTTCTTAAATATTAGAGCAAGCATTGCTCTTAACCTTTGTTACTGAATTTGAATCTTATTTCTAGACTGTACAGTCTGATGCATGATTTTTTAATAAATATTTCATACTCTTGTGAATTTGGATCTTTTTACTTTGAGCATATATTTTAGCAAATGTGTATCTTAAAGGGTCACCACAATGTCTGCAGTATGAATGCAGCTTCATTGTGGGATAGTTTGTTAAACAGTCAGGAAAGCTAAACTGGTCAGTATTAATGTCTAGCCCTACCAAAAACAGCTAGCAGCATCTGAAGATGAAAAGTAAATGAAGTATCCCAGGAAACAGTCTGGCTTAGCTATTTTTGAAATATAACCGTTTCCCTTCTCTGCTGCTTTAGATGTTGCTTTACATAGAACCAGAAAATGGAATTTCTCAGCTAAAGCATGTGTGCCTGTTGCATCTAATCAAGCAGAGCTAAAATGTTCATCTCAAATAAATTTATATTAATAAACTAATCTAAGAGTATCAGGTTACTAGGGTAATTTATATATTTGCAAGTAAAAGATAGTAAAAAGTTGACTGGCAAAGAAAGAGATCCAGGTTTAAAACTGGCTTACCTCAGCCAGTGTTAAGGGTTGTCTGTAGGTTATTCAGTATGTCAGGCCAAGGGTTTAAATTATTTTGAGAGAAGCATTCAATTCTAATAATCCAGCTATTGCAAAACTCCTAAAATGATCTCTTTTTTTCCTGTCAGAGATTTTAAAAAATTGAAAAGTTTACCTCAGCCATAAAATAAAAGTTGTTTGATTTGGAAAAAAAAAATTTGCTATATAGAGAAGAGTACTTTCTTTAAAAGTACCCATAATGTTATGAGGTTTTTGTTTTGCATTGTTGTTTGCTTTGTTTTGGGGGCAGGGTCTTGCTATGTAGCTCAGGAGGGCCTTGAGCTTGTGGCAGTCTCCTGCCTCAGCTCCCAAGTACTGATGATAAGATTATAAAGATTAAAGAGGTGATTTAGGGGCTGGAGAGATGGCTCAGTGGTCTAAGGCACCTACTTGGAACAAGCTTGGCAAAGCATCAGGGACCGCGGTTCAATCCCCCAGCACCACATGCCAGCCAGCCCCGCCCCCTGGTGGGCTGAGCTGGCCACACACACACACCACACACACACACTCTCTCTCTCTCTCTCTCTCTCTCTCTCTCTCTCTCTCTCTCACAAAAAAATAAAAATAAAAAAAAAGAGGTGATTTAAAGAGCCAAGTGTGGTAGCATACTCTTGTAATCCCAGCACTTGAGAGACTGAGGAAAGAGGATCATTTTGTGTTCAAAACAAACCTGAGCTACAAAGTGAGCTCAAGGCCAGCCTGAACAGCATAGCAAGACTCTGTCATGAAAAGACACAGAAAGAGATGAGATTTAAAGACCTACATTCTCATTTTTATTTCAGGGAAAGTTCACATCTGCTAAGAAACAGGATTCTCTTTCGTGGGGCTCAGAACACTCCGTACTGCCTGGCACAAGCAGCACTGGTAGGCTGAAGAGAAGAAAAGCAGAAGGTATCCTCTGACCTTAAGAGCACACGAGGAACCCAGCACTGGTACCTGGTGAGAGGGGAACTTTTCAGCTGGGCTGCACAGGGCAATGAGAATGGCTGGGAGGAGGTGGTCAGAGATGAAGGGAAGGAGGCATCTCAGAAGAAGAGGAGGAAAACCAGATTTCTGATATGAAGTTTACTGAACAGATGAGTACATGTCAAAGACAGAAATGGTGTATGATCATCAAAGGAAAATTGTACTTACCTCCTATTGTTTTCCCTGGATTTCTGAGACTATAAGAGAGAT